CGAGCCCGGCTCATCCTTCTCCTTTAAAGCCCTGTTCTGGCCGGCTCGGTGGCTCAGCCTGTAATCCCGCGCCTTGGGAGGCTGAGGTGAGTGGATTGCCTGAGCTCGTGGGTTCGAGCCTGGGCAACTTGGCGAGACCGCATCTTACAATAAATCAAAAAATTAGCTGGGCATGGTAGCACGTGCCTATAGTTCCAGCTACTTGGAAGACTGAGGCGGAAGGATCGCCAGAGCCCAGCAGGTTGAGGCTGCGGTGGCCGGGAGTGGCCACTGCACTCCAGTCTGGATGACAGAGTGAGACTCCAACTCAAAAAAATAAAAAATAAAAAAATAATAGATAAATAAAAATAAATAAATAAAGCCCTGTTCAGATGCCACCTCTGTCTCTTCCAGGTGACACTGCTATTCCTTGAGTTCCCACATCTCAGAACCTTGGGTGTCACTCTGATGCTGTCTGTCCTCTGGCATGCTGAAGATGTGTCATCTCTCCCCCCACTAGATTGAGTCCTCCAGGAGGACAGGAACCCATCCATGTCTTGTCTGGTTTCAGTGCCCAGCCTGAAACATGACCCAGAGAAAGCTTCAATAAATATTGCTGGGTGAACAAAATCTTCCTCATTACGTCCTAAGCACCTGAAGGAAGCCACATCTCGTCTAGCATCCAGCACAGGGTGGACACACAGTATGTGTGCAATAAAGGTTTGTTGAATGAATAGAATTTGAGAGAAAACAAGGACGAGAGAACAAGCTGTGGGGTGGAAGGTGGGTATGAAGGGGAACAAATCGCGGCTGAGGATGCCGAGACGCTAGAGGCTGGGGCAAGGGTAGGGAGCTTACCGCCATCTCCACGGCCCCAGGCAAACAGTTCTCGCTCTGTGGACAGGGCCAGCACGTGAGAGGCCCCACAGGCCACCTGCACCATCTCATAGCCCAGCAGGGCCTCCACAATGGTGGGCTAGAGAGAAGGAGGGAGCATGGGGAGACTGTGCAGGGGGCTTGGGACTAGCCACCTGGCCTCAACACCCCCTGCAACTTTTCAGGAGGCGGCTGTCTCTTTAATTCCAGCCACACCCACTGTCAGGTGGGCAACCACTGGGAAAGCCTGGTCTTTCTGTACTTCCCCTGATGTGCCCCAAGCAGGTGCAGACTGAGAGCTAGAGGGACCTGTGGCTGCTGGGAACTCCCCTGCTCCCATGGTGTCTGCTCTCAGATGTGGGCTCCCTGCCATCCTCCCACTTCCCTCTTTCCAGGGCACTCATGACACCCACCTGGCTGATATCAGTGAGGCTGCCATGGCCTAGGCACCCATTGCTGCCACTGCCAAAGGTCATGATGATGCCTCGGTCTGGAGAGGAGAGCAGGGAGAAGAGAGAAGGGAGAGGAGTCTGACTGTTTCACCAGATAGCCCAGGTTACATGTGGGTTGCGGCAGCAAGATAAAGTTGGGGGCTAGGAAGGGAGAAAAGGATAGTGGTCTCTAGTCCTATGTGTGCCACTTGATATAAGCAACAGCCTCTCTGAGCCACACTTCCCCATTCTGTCAAGTGGAGCTAATGTAATAACTACCTTGCCAGGCCTGTTGGGTGAAGGAGATTGTGTAAGAAATCTCAACAGTTAGCAGACAGAGGCAAGGGCTCAATAACTAGTAGACAGAAGCATTAATTGAGCAGTTTGCAATGAGGGAGATTGCTCTGTGGGGCCTTCTCATAGCGGGTCCCCACCAGGGTAGTTCCCTGATGGGCTCACCGGTCAGGCAGGCGGTGAAGAGGTCCCCGCAGGCCACATGCTTGATGGTCACCCCTGACTGGCCCTCCAGGAAACGCGAGATGAAGTGAGGCTGCGGCTGCTCCACTGCGCCTGGGAGGAGGGTGCCTCCACCTGCGCCTAGGGGCGGGGCCTGTAGGGGGGCCCAGGAAAGGAGTGGGCGGCGCCTGAGCACCCCACCCCTACTATGGGCCCCCGCACCCTGTCCAGGCCCGCCTCTAGCCTGCTCACCTCCCACAGGATAAGGCGCCCAGAGCGCGTGACACCGGCCTTCTGCGTGCGCCCAGCGGCCACCTGGACCACCTCGGTGTTGAGCATCGGCAGCCGCAAGGGGGCGCTAAGCCCACCGCCCCAGGCATACACCGACGACAGAGGCGGAGGGATGGCGGGCCTCACAGGTCCCCGAGGGAAGCCTGTGGAGACGGCACATCGGGCCTATTAAACTGGTGGGAATGGTGTGTCGTCCGCGGGAACCCAGCGTGCCCGCCCCCCCCCCCACTTACCCCTGCAACGGGTATTGGTAGTCCTGCTCCCTGTGCTGCCAGGGGCCATGGGAGGTCCGGTCAGGGACTTCTCTGCCCTGCGGGTCAGATGGGGACCTCAGGACAGAGACCTTCCCGGGCATTCTTCCATGCAAGAATGAAGGTCTTGTCCCAGGTGCCTCTGTGCCCCAGGCCTCCCACCGGGTGCCCACACCCTGCTGCCCAGGACCACCCTCCTCGCCCCGCACAGGCCTCCGCATGCGGACGCTGCCCACGTCAGTGTGGAGGTTGAAGAGGGCACGGATGCAGAGGGGCTGCGCCATAATGTGACCAAGTGAAGGCCGCTGTGCAGGCTCCAGGCTGAGCAGACTCAGGACAAGTTGGCGCAGCTCAGGGCTGTACCGGTCAGAAATAGGTGCAAAGGTGCCACTCATGATCTTCAGCACCAGCGCTGGTAGGTTCTGTGAAGGTGCCAAGTTGGGGAGTTGGAGAAGTGAAGACAGCACCCCCAGCTCCAGCACTAGCTCTGGGTCTGCTGGGGCCATAACAGCCCTGCCCTCGGGAGCCTTCAGTCTGATGAATGATAGGGGAGGGAGACATACGGGAGTCAAACCCTGATTTCAGTAATCCTGAGTCTGACCCGGGAGTTGCAGCTATGTCCTCAGAAACCCCAGGTTGTTTGCAAAGCTCAAGTCTTGCTCTTGAGAGGGTCCCTGATTTGATGGGAGAGCCACAGCCCTGCCCTCAGGGACACTCCATCTAATGGAAGCTCCCCAGGCCTGCCCTCAGGAATCCATAGTCAGAGGGACAGCCACAGTCCTCCCCTGGGGCAATCCAGTCTAATGAGGGAAAGACATGACTCAGCCACAGAGAAGAAACCCAGGAGTGGCCGGCTGGAGCTGAGGGCTGCTGGAGGAGGGGGGTAGATGTCCCAGTTGTTCCCTTGAAGGTGTTTACACTCACTGCAGCCTCGAAGGCCCTCTTGAGGCTGGCCAGCTCATAGAGGACACAGCCCAGGGCCCAGATGTCACTCTTCTGGTTGTAGGGCTTGCCCTCACACAGCTCAGGGGAGATGTAACATGGAGTACCCACCACCTGCAGGAGGGAAGCTGAGATCACAGCCCTGCAGGGTGGGAGGACCAGGGGCTCTGCCCACAGGTCCGTTTGGGAACTGCTTCTTCTCAAAGCAAGCCAAGGGGCTTCCTCCTGTAGGAACACCCAACCAGGGGCCCAGATGCCAAGGTTTTTGGGAGGCAGGGAGTATCAGGGATACAAAATAAGTCTTGGCCCTCAAAACCTCTAGCACCCTGGAGGTCCCCTCCACGCCCAGGCACCGTGTAGGCCTTGCTCTTGCTGCTAAGGATCTTGGAGATGCCAAAGTCACCAATCTTGACAACCATGCGGTGTTTGTCAAGAAGGATGTTCTGGGTCTTGAGGTCCCGGTGCAGGATGAGGTGGGTGTGCACGTGATGCAGCGCAAGCAGGATCTGCACGAAGAAGTGTAGGATAGTCTCCTCCTCCAGCAGGGAATTGCAGCGCTTTTGGATAAACTCAGCCAGGGTACCACCTGTGGCCCAAGGAAATAATCAAGATCCAGGCTTTCTCACACCTAGGACAACACTTCTCTTGTGGAACAGGGCCCTGGGACTAGAGAGGGCAAAGGGCCAGCCAGGGTAAGACAACTGGGGCTAAAACTCTATACCACTGACCCTTAGCCAAGCCCATTCCAAGGAGGCTAATCTGTGCCTGCCTGTCCTAAAGGTAAGAGGTCCTACAGCCAGACCACTGCACGGGGAGCTGGCTCACCTGGTGCATATTCCATGGCGATCATGAGGGCCTTGTCCTCCAGGAAGTTCTCATAGTACTCAATGACATTGGGGTGGTTGAGCAGCTTGAGGACCTGACACTCATTCTGGGCGGCCTGCCGCTCTTCCTTGGTCATCTGTTCCACTGGGATCTGCTTGATGATCACCAGCTTCTGGTCAGCCTTTCGCAAGCATAGGTGCACAATCCTGGGGACACAAAGGACGGACTGGCACCAGCTGAGCCTCCAGTCACATACCAGGCATGGCAATTCAGTCTGGTGACTGGGTAGCTTTAGGAGAGGGTAAGGGACATGCAGACTAAGAGGTAAACTAACCAAATTCACGGAACACTGAGCTCGGGAACACAGAGAACTGATTACAAACTGGGTGAGGCTTCAGTTTCACCACAGGCAGGAGATAAAGTTAGTCCTGATTGGCTGGGCGCCGTGGCTCATGCCTATAATCCCAGTATTTTGGGAGGCTGAGGTAAGAAGATTGCCTGAGCTCACAGATTTGAGATCAGCCTGGGCAACTTGGTGAAACCTCATCTCTACAATTAAAAAAAAAGAAAAAACTAGCTGGGCATGGTGGCACATGCCTGTAGTTCCAGCTACTTGGAAGGCTGAGGTAGAAGGATCACCTGAGCCCAGCTAGTTGAGGCTACGGTGGCCGTGAGTGTACCACTGCACTCCAGCCTGAGCGACAGAGTGAGACTCCAATAAAAAAAAAAAAAAAAAAATCCTGACCTCTAAGTTCCCACAGACTCTGGAGTTAACTGCCTGGGTTCAAATCCTGGCTCCTCCTCTTACTAGTTGGATATGTTATATGGTATCATCTGGAAAATAAACTCAGTCTCAAGGGTTATTGAGAGGATCAAATGAGAAAATGCATTAAAGCACTTAGCAGAGTGCCTAAAACATAGAAAATGCTCAATGAATAGAAACCGTACATATTATTATTATATATTTTTTTGAGTTGCAGTCTATTTTTTTTTTTTTTTTTTT